TATAATCTAATGTTGCGGTTTCATTTTTCGTCTTTCGGTACAGATTTCCATTTGTGTTTGAACTTGAATCAGATTCTTCCATACTACTTGGATTATATGTTTCATCAAGAAAAGAATCATCTGTATTGCTGCTAAATGAAGAACATCGGGACCGCTGACTACAGGATGGTACCATCAGCTCATTTACTGGAGCTCCTGAAGGAGTAAATAAAATAAAATATGATACGGATCATAAGTGTTAAGAAAGTTTACCTGTATGGCCTTCATTACTTTCCACTTGAGAATTCAGTGCATCTTCTACATTTCTACATATCGACATATCGCTATCTGTAAACAAAAAATATTCTTTTAAATAAAATATGATATGGATCATAAACATTAAGAAAGTTTACCTGTATGGCCCTCATTACTTTCCACTTGAGAATTTGGTGCATCTTCTATATTTCTACATATCGACACATCGCTATCTGTAAACAAAAAAAAATCTTTAACAAAATTCCTTGTATCTAATATAGAATATAAGATCTGGCAACGTCGCAAAACAACCATACGTAACCTTATGTGCTTCACTCGTAAAATTAAATTTACAACCTAACCTTAATTATTATTATTAGCAACACATTTACTTACCAAAATTCTCGTTATTTGCCATATTAAAAACAACCATTTGTACCAGCTTTTTCCCTCTGGAATTCATGATCTAATAATATGATTCACTAACAGTTAATACAAACAAATAAACAATAAAACCCACTATAACAACTTGCTAGGCTACGTTGATAATCTCGAATACCATGACAAACTTGCCATAGTTGCCAAAAATAACACCGATCATGTTTCTAAACACAATGAATCTTATGTTATACCCAGAGGAATACTACACTATGTCCACATAGTGCAAAGGAAATGTGACAATCTTAATAGGAAAACAACACCAAGTACTGTTGGTGATATATACCTCTATAGAAGTTAATACATAGTGTAATATATCCTCCAGAATAATGCATTTATAGTCGAGCTAGGACATAGTGGATTATACCTTTAGAAAGAGAATTTAAAATTACGTAACACTATGTCAAGATCTCAATATTACACTAAGTTGACATAGTGTAGTTTACCTCCGACACACAGAAATGTAAGCGGGTATTTAAAATGTAAGTTATAAAAATTACCGGATAAATTTTATGATTTGAAATCTTGAAACAGAATATCTAACCTGAATACGTTCCTGTTTCACTTTTAAGATTCGCTTGTTAATTGAAGATTGGCCAGAGGTACAAAGAAAGAGAACAGCTTCCTAACAATATGATATTCTCTAATTATGAATATGATTTAAGAATTTTCTAACCGGGATGCATTGTTAAAGGCTTTTCATTACGTCAATCAACAAATAATAAACTATGATGGAAGGTATTCATTAAGATTGCTCTTTATTTTTATGAATACAGGGTGTTTAAGATTACAAATTAATTAAAAATTGAATGGTCTAGAAATTAAATCATGAGTTGACAAATTGTGCCTCTATGATTGTGAATATACAAGTTGACATCAACAATGTTCAGGAAAGAATAACTCATAACCTGTATTTTGCATTTTTGACCATTGGAAGAAACTGATGCCTTACCTTAGCGATACTCCCAAACTAGTTCCAAATTAATGGTACCCTAATGAGTTTGACATAGTAGTACTTGTGACTGAAAAGAATGTGTTTATGTAATGACCACGAAAGTGGCGAGACTTGTTTTAGATGTAAATCAAGTAATATTTAAATTAAACGCTTAAAAAAATTCAACCCTCACGTACAAGTGACAAGTACATGTGACACACAACTTCTGTGAGAACCAGGATTTATTTATATATTTTATAAAATATGTAAATTTATATTATAAGACATTTTTTTTGTTATAAATAAACTCTATTATACAGATTTAGCCATACGGCTCACACTGATAGTGTACAGAGAGAGTAGCACAATTTTCTGCCTTTAGATCTTATACAGGTGTTTACAGGTTATTATCTCAGATTTAGCCATATAGCTTACACTCTTCTCCAAGTGGAAAATTCGCTCATCCCGGATACCTACAGTATCAAAAGCATTGAGCTCTTATGGGACTCTTTCCGTGTTATGAAGCCCTAGGCGACTTAATACGTCGAAGTATTTCCCAAAAATTTTTGTACGCATTTGGACGTCGAAAATAGCACAGCTTTCTGCCGTCAGATCTCATACAGATGTTCACAGGTTGTAATCATTATAACCAGATTTAGCCATATGGCTCAAACTCCCTTCAAGGGGAAAATTCACTCTTCTCAGATACATAGAGTATCAAAAATTGAGCTGTGGTAGGACTCTTTCCGTGTTATCGAACCCTAGGTGACTTGGTATGCTGGAGTATCTCCCAAAAATTTTCGTACACATCTGGACGTGGCGAGGAGTACAACTTTCTGCATGGCCTTATAAAGATGTTCATTTAGACCCAGCTGTTTTATGTGCGCTAGGAGGTTTTTGGGAATACCACCAGTAGTAGATATAATCATAGGTATTGTCTGGGCACTTTTCATTCTCCATTGTCTCCTGATTTGTATTTCTAGATCTCTATACTTGGCAGTCTTTTCGTGATATGTAACACGTAAATTATTGGTGTTGGGTATCGCCACATCAATCAGTGTGTTTGTCTAGTAAGTTTATTAACTAGTATGAGATCCGGTCTATTATGCGCCACTGGTTGGTCTATAAGAACAGTGCGATCCCAGTATAGCTTGTAGTTGTCAAGCATTTTCAAGCATTCTGTCAGGGACGTATTGATAATAAGGAAGATGGTCGGTTTGAAGAAGTCCCAGTTTGTCAGCTAGTTCTTGCTGGATAATCTTTCCTACTGAGTTATGGCGTTCTTTATAATCAGTACCGACAAATGCCTGGCAACCACCGATAAGATGTTGGATGGTTTCTTGGGCTTGGCATCCATATCAGCATTTGTCATTTTGGACTTGAGGATCTTTAACAATATATTTCTCTATATTATCACTCTTTAACTTTAACTCTATTATTATTATTATTTTCCTGCTAAATCTACTGAAGACATATTGATCGAAAGTTTTGCCTTTAAAGTATTTTCCGGTCCAAGCTAAGGAACAGCTTCTATTTAAGTCTAACAAATAATTATTATTATCCAGAGTTACATTCTCAGTAATATCTAGAGATTTAGCTAATGAAACAAACGGAGCCTATTAAAATAAACCGAGCAGTAAGACAAGGAGATACCACCTAACCCAAGCTGTTCAACCAAGCGCTAGAAGATGTTTTCAAACGACTACACTGGGATGGCTTGAGAATTAACATAAACGGGCAAAATCTGAATCAGTTACGATATGCTGATGATATTGTATTATTAATAGAAAAAAGTGAAGAATTACAAAAAATGATGAAAGAACTAGATAGAGAATCAACAAAAATTGGACTCAAGATGAATTACAGTAAAACAAATACCATGACTAATCAACCAGAAGAACTAATAATTACAGTAGCACAAACAAGAATAGAACAAGTAAAAGAGTATATATATATCTAGGCCAAATCACTAAATTAAATAAAGAAAGTCAGACCGAAGAAATAAAGAGAAGAATAATATTGGCCTGGGCATCATTCGGAAAACTGTCTTATATTCTAAAGAATTCAAAATACCTCCAATACCTAAAAACGAGAGTCTTCAATCAATGTATACTCCCTGTCCTCACATATGGCTCTCAGACATGGACGTTTACAAAGGAAAATATGGAAAAAATAGCAGACAGAAAGATCCATGGAAAGACAAATGCTGAACATGAAAATATCAGACAGAAAAAGAAACGAATGGATCCGTAATAAAACAAAAGTGACAGATGTCTCAACCCAAGTAGCAAAGCTTAAATGGAAGTTCGCCGGACACACCCTAAGGCAGAAAGATGAAAGACATTGGAGACCATGGAATGACAAACGAAAGAAGGCCACAAATGCGATGGTCAGATGACCTGAAGAAACACGCCGGGTCAAAAGGGATGCAAATTGCCCAAGATAGAGAGGCATGGAAGAAGGAGGAGGAGGCCTATATCCAAGGATGGATGTTTAGGGCTGTATAGATAGATAGATCTAGAGATTCGTTTGTTAGATATTTAGTTTTTGCTGGATTTATTTTTAGTCCTATTTCTTTTAATTGTGTATTTAGTTCTAATAGGCCGAAGAAAAATATCCTGGCTCTGAAATCTCTGAATGTGGTAACATAAAACATTGGTTGATTTATGCTGAGCTGCTGCAAACAAATTAATTATTATATAACTTGAGAACAACTTCCAATAATAAAACACTATGACTAGAAGTAATAATTAATTAGATTTAATTAAAGGATAAGCAATAAAGTAAAAAACAATTAAACACAACATACACAGATTAAATTTTTACTAAAAACTACGTATGAAACCAATTCAACATATATATTTTTTAAGACAGTTAAACATTGGGTAGCACGCAAAGACTTGACTTCACGGTGGTCTACAATTAGGTATGGTTCACAATCGCTAGATTTATACACATGTAAGAACTGGCGAGTAGTGCAATCATTTATCTTTTGATTTAGTAGTCTTTAACGCCCTCTTGTTCGTCAACGATACAGACTGCTATTATTTTAGTAACGCAAACACATAGTCTGAGATAAAATAGTCGGAGCGTGAATATAGTAAACTGCTTAAAGTATTTTCGGATAAATGATAATTTCTAACAATATAAAATAATTGTTTTCTTTCGGTGGTGGCGGCTTACTAGAGGGCATTTCTGATTTTTCACTTTAACTGTGAACGTTTTAAACCCGGTGAAACAAAATATACAAATTTTAAAGATTATTAAAAACCTAGTGGCCACAAAGTTCTCCAATGTCGATCGTGATCACGTGACCTAAAGTGGCAGCTGACATTAGCATGACACACTTGTTCACCGGGTTTAAAACGTTCACAGTTAAAGTGAAAAATCAGAAATGCAATCTGGTAAGCCGCTACCACTGAAAGAAAATGCCTTATTTAAAAGAATCTTGAAGTGTTACGAGCAGAAACAGTACAAAAATGGTTTGAAATTTGCGAAGCAAATCCTCTCAAATCCCAAATACACAGAACATGGAGAGACCCTTGCGATGAAAGGCTTGACCCTCAACTGCTTTGGTAGAAAAGAGAAAGCTTATGAATATGTCAGAAGAGGTTTAAGGAATGACCTCAAATCTCATGTATGCTGGCATGTTTATGGACTGCTGCAGAAGTCTGACAAAAAGTACGATGAGGCCATCAAGTGCTATATGTAGAAATGCTCTCAAGTGGGAAGAAGATAATATTCAAAATAATTGTTATTGTATCTACAAGAAACTCGTCTTTTCAGCTACAGTTTAAGTAAAACTAAAAAATTATACCACTTTTCTCTACAAGAAAACAAGCATTACACCAAATATTCAATGGTGGAGTCAGAATTCTTTTACCATGGCGGTAGTTGCCAGTCCACCTCGGGGGTGGAAATTTTTTATTATACACTCTGGACCAAAATTAACCGGCCATCTTAAAAATCGGTAATTTTTGATGTCTTATATCTCCTTAACCTGTTGTCCGATTTAAGTGAATTTTTTAATATGTTATAGCCTTATTCCTTGACAATTTCGTTATAATAATATAGTTGCTATACAGGTAGATGTTCATTGTATACCGGGTATACGAATTAAACTGTGTTTTTTTCTTAAAGTTTACATCACCCTGTGGAATATTCTAGCTTTTATAAAATATAATTAAAACCTAACTATAGCCCCATATTTTCTCAACATTTTGTTTTTTGGTTCATTCGCTTATGTTGGATAATACAAAAGTTAGGTAGTTTAACCACTAGCCATGTTTTTCATAAATACAGACGATTTAACTCACCAGCAAAATTGACCCCACCACCTTTATTATTGTTTTGTTTACATTACCTGTGACAGTTTGTTTCCTAAATGTGTGTCGTCGAAGGATTTTTGTCATATAGTCGTTGTACGACATTGTTGCAAATCCGTTTCCGTGTTAATAACAATTCTTGAACAATTTGTAATTAAAATTAAATTTGTAATTAAAATTAACAATTTAAATTGTAATTTTATATCATTGTAAGCGAATATTGTTTAAGTTGAAATTTGAGTGCTTATTTATTGTTTTTAAAAATGCCACTCGTTCCAGTGATGCTGCTAAGGCAGTGGCTTTAGTAGATGCTGGTCAACGTCATATCGCTGGTATACTCGATGTACCCAGAACTACAGTACAAGATGCCATTAGACGATTTCGGGAGACAGGACGTACAACCGCAGGCCAGGTCAAGGCCGAAACGATGCACTTCACTTCCAGATGACCGCTTCATTGTCACTAAAGTATTGAGAAATCGCTTTTGCACCACTTCTGAAGCTCGTAGTGTGAGTAGACAAACGATTAGAAGAAGACTGTCAGAAATAAACTTGAGGGCTTTTCGTCCAGCTCGCGCAACACAACTGCTCCGACAACACCGTAGGGCTAGACTTCATTTTGCGCGAGAAGGTGCTAACTGGACTATGGCGGAATGGAAGAATATACTGTTCTCAGATGAGAGCAGAATAGCCCTAAATGGTCCGATGGACGCCAACGTCTCTATATGCCTCTAAATGAACGGTTTGCTTCATGTGCTATAACCGAAACAGTGGCTTACCGAGGAGGCTCAATAATGATTTGGAGAGATATTTCTTACGAAGCGCGTACTGATCTTGTTGGGTTCGGAGAAGCAGTGTGGAATACGTGCAAGAAGTTCTCCAAGACCATGTCATGCCTTTTGCACCATTCATTGGTGATAACTTCAGACTAATGCATGACAATGCACGTTGCCATACAGCAAGATCTACCCGTGAGTACCTTAATGAGGTCGGGATTCAAGTTCTACATTGGCCAGCACAAAGTCCGGATCTTAACCCAATTGAGCATATCTGGGACAACCTCAAAAGACGGGTAAGAGCAAAAGTACCAGCCCCTTCATGCTTTGAAGAGTTGAAGACAGCTGCGGTAAAGGAGTGGCACAATATCCCCCAATCTGATATCCAGGATATCATGAATGGATTGCCAAACCGGCTCCAAGGAGTCCTAAGCGCTAGAGGCGGCAACACCCATTATTGATACCCATTTTTTTTTTCAATTAGACTTTGATTTCCAAAATATTGTTAATTTGAATTATCTTCAAAGATTTTGTTCATTGGATTTTTACTGTAACAAATGACTTTTTTTCAAAAAGATTATTTTTCTCTTCCGCGAAGATAAAAATTGATCAAAAACAAGTCTAGTTGTTAAAGCAGCTAACTTTTGTATTATCCAACATAAGCGAATCAATCAAAAAACTAAATGTTCTAAAAACTACAAATACTACAATATTCCACAGGGTGATGCAAACTTTACGAAAAAAACACAGTTTGAGTCGTACACCCGGTATACAATGAAAATTTACCTGTTTAGCAGCAATATTATTATGAAGATAATGTCAAGGAATAAGGCTATAACATATTAAAAAAAATCACTTAAATCACTTAAAACAGGTTTAGGAAGTATAAGAAATCAAAAATTACCCATGTTTAAGGTGACCGGTTAATTTTGGTCCAGAGTGTATTTTGGCCACAAAATATGGTACAAAATTAATTCGAATGAAAAAATGTTCTATACATTTTTTTGGATAAAATTAATAATGTTCGATTTATTGGCTATCGAAAGAAAGTGTTAGTTTCATATCGAAAAAATCAATGATTTTCTCAGTTTTCTGCTATAATAATAATTCAAAAACAATTAGTTTTATCAAAAAAACTGTAATTAACAAAATAGTTTTTTTTTTATTTTCATTAAGACCAATATTAACCGAGGTTTACTTTATTATAGGTTTTTTTTTATAAATTTGAACAACTAAGGGTAGTTTTCACCCTTAAAAGTTAAATTTTAAATTTAAATAATCAAAATGTATAGTTAAAGTATCAGAAAATCAATATTTATATCATCTGAACCAAATTTTACTGTTTTTTAGCTTTTATAGAGATTTTAGTCTTTTTTATACCAAAAAATATAAAAGATTAGAATGGAACTTCAAAAAGCAAATCTAAGTCCAATTCCTTACTTTATTGATGATATTTTTCTTTACCCTTAATGCAACCCCAGCCTGAACTTTGTTTTTTTTTTACTGCACTATACATTAGCAAGTTTCCGTTTTCCAATATCAGGGTTCCTCTTCCTTTTCTTTTTGTTTCTGTTATAGCTAGTGCTCCGATCTCTTTATCTTTTATTTATTTCCCCAGTTATATTTCTTTCTCTTTCATGTTAACATGTAGGCGGAAAATAAGTAGCAAGCGAATTTTCAACTAAAAACTATTAAAAAAGAAAAAAAATTAAATCGAAAGAAAGGCTTGCTTCAGTCCCACAGGAAATGTATGAAAAAGAAATTATTGAAAGTGCAAACCAAAAGTGTTAGAATGAAATAAGATAGAAGAGAGATAAGACGATGAAATAAATAAAAAGGAAAAAACATGTTATCGATGGTATCGAATATTAATTGAATATTAATAGCTCAAAACGATAAAGCGATCATTTTGTAACAACAAATTTTGTTCTAAAATCAACTCCATGATTTTATTTTATATTGTATTATTCATCGGAAAGTAGCAATAGCATACTTTATTACCTCATTAACCTTTCATTATGTGAAGAAACCTTCTTCGTGATAATACTTTAAACGTCTTCGTCTACGAAGTCGTAAAATATTGTTTACTATAGCCATTCATTCAAGATCTCGACCGTTTGTCATTTATATTCCATTTCAACTGTATTTAAAACCAAACAAACACCGCTGATGACATTAAAACAGTTGTTTAAATGCTCAAATGCATTGCCTAACAGTTCTTTAATAATAATAAATTGTTTAACAAATCTTTGACAGACGTGTCTCGAAATGAATGGTCATTCGTTGTCAACAAAGGTGACGATTCTGAAACGGTGTTAGAAGACGTGTGCCACGGCATATACTTTAGTAATTCATTCACGAATTTATTTAATCTTTTGTTTGTTTATTATTTTATTAATATTTACCGAAGCATTTCTTCTTTCTCGAAAGTTTTAACTTTTTACACTATTCCTTTGCTTGATTTTCTTTTTGTAGAAAAGTATTTTGTAAAATTTTGTAAAATTTAAATTACCTATAGATGTAGGAGTGGTGAGTGTTGCCAAAATTTTGGCATTTTTATACGTAACATACTTGATAAATCTCTCTTCATGCTAATCTCTAAAGTGACATAGTTTTTTCACTATTACATGTTTTAACCTGAACATTTACAGAAATTTTTCTCAAATCTTATATTTTGATAATGTATTAGTTAGAATTAAAAATTCAAAAATTCTTCCCTTAAATTTTTTAAGTAACCATAAAATTAAGCAAATCTTACAACAAAATGTTTAACAATTTACGGTTACCACAAACATCTTAAAATGATAACACTGTAAAGGTAATAGTATACCTTCTCCTTAGAGTGCCATATCCCTACGCAACGTCAGCGACTACCATGCTTATAATATTGTTATACTGATCTCGGTCTTGCGCTACGTGTATCAATTGGTCCGCTGTCAAACCTGTCCACTGCCGCAAATTCCTCAACCAAGAGAGTTTCTTCCGTCCTATCCATTTCTTTCCTTCGATTTTACTGTTGAGAATTAGCCGAAGGAACTCATATCTTGGTCCTCTGATTATATGTCCAAGATATTCTAGTTTACGCCTCTTAATAATATTTCGTTCGTTGATGTCCCCATTATTCGAAAAACTTCTTCGATTCTGGTTCTGCTAGTCCATGGAATGTTTAGTATTCTTCGATACAACCACATCTCAAACGCCTCGATTTTATTCATGATATCGGCGTTTAAAGTCCAAGTTTCACATCCATACAAAAGTACAGACCACAAGTAACATCTTGTAAACTTTTCACGGATTTCCAAATTTAATGAGTTATTGGATAGTAGAGGCTTGAATTTTTAAAATGAGTTTCTTGCCTGTTCAATTCTACATCGAATTTCAAAGGATGGATCTAGATTTTGGGTAATCCAACATCCAAGGTATTTGAATCTCTGAACTCTCTGCAGCGGCTGTTGGTTTAATATCAGTTGGGTTGCGCCGATATCCACTTTACTGGTCACCATGTATTTAGTTTTATCGATATTTATCGACAGTCCCCAATTTGTGCATTCCATGTCAACTCTATTGATTAGCTCCTGCAGATCGTCGATGTTTTCAGCTAGAATCACAGTA